TCTACGTGCCCTTCTTTGCTGCCTACACCCTCTGGTGAGACGTGCTGGGCCCCCAATGTGTCCCTGTCTCCTGGTCCTGGGGCTTCCCGGAAACGGCTCTCCATTTCTCAGGCCCTCCTCAGTCAGGCAACTGTCCCAGAGTCTGCCACTGACTCACTTTGTGACCTGGAAAAAATCACTTTCCCAAATTAAAAAAAGAAAAAAAAAAAAAAAAGAGTGCCTCAGGTTGCCTACCCATAAAGAAAGGATTCTCTTGAGCATGCGTCAGGCAATATGTAAGGCACATAGTAAGTGTTCAATAAAAGCTAGTTGTAATTCTTTATCGTTCAACGTAACTTAGCAGTACAGCAGGCAGATTCTAAGCCTGACTGCCTGGGTTCAGATCCCAGTTCTAAAGCTTGTAAGCTGTGTGACCTCACGCAAAAATTAACTTCTGTCGGCCTCAGTATCCTTACCTGTTTAATGGGGATGGAAATTGCACTTGTTTCGTAGCGTCATTGTGAGAGTTAATGAGTTTATATACATGAGACGCAGTAAGTCCTTAATTGTTATTGTCCTGTGTTAATTCATTCACCAAACATCTTTTGATTTCCTATCAGGTGCCAGGATTTGGGGTGGGGTGGAACTGAGTTAAATTCAGCCTAGTCTTTGCCTTCCAGAATTTCCCAGGCCAGTGGGATTCCTGCCCCCCTTTTAACCTCTGGCTTCTGAAGGTCACACTGGCTTCTCTCCAGTTTGGGACCCACCTGGGCCCCATGTGTGTGTGCATGGCAGGGGAGCTGGGGCCATGGGGTGGGGACGAGGGCAGGGGCAGTGTCTCTACTGACCCAGTACCTCCCCTTCAGGTTCTTTGCGGTTCCTGTGATGGCCCTGATTGCCAACTTTGGGATCCCCAAGTGGGCCCGGGAGAAGATTGTCAATGGCATCCAGCTGGGGATCCATTTGTATGCCCATGGCGTGTTCCTGGTGAGGAAGGGCATCCAGGTGGGGTGGGAGCCTGATGGGCGGAGGATGCGTGAGGCTGAACCTTCTGTTCTGAGCTCTCCATCCATTTCCTTCACTTCATCCCTTTAGTCATCCAACAGACATCGAGAGCCTGCTGGGTTCCTGCAGGCTGCTCTCCTGTGTCGTCCGCCCCCCTCCCCCCTGCCCACAGTCCACCCTCTTTTATTCCTCGCTCCCATCTTGTCCTGGCCTCTTCCCCAACCCAACCCCCCCCCTTTTCCCTTAAATAAACTCTATGCTCAATGTGAGGCTCGAACTCATGATACTGTGATCAAGAAGCTGCATGCTGTACCATCTGAGCCATTCGGGCGCCCAAGAACCCCACCGTCTTTCTTTCACCCCCTCCCATTCCCATTCCGGACCCTGTGTCCCCAGACTCTCACATTTCTCTTCTCTATCCCCCTGCCTTTCCCAAGCCCCTTGGTCACTACTCCACCCTTCCCCAACACGTTCTCCCATCTGCCATCACAGGCCATTGTCCAGGAAGAAGCAGGTGGGGTGGGCCAGGCTGGGGTCCCAGGGGACCTGGATCTGAATGATATCGAGAGGCTATCAGCACCAACCTCTTCTTCGCCCCTGATTTATATCCTATCTGGCCTTCTGGGTGACAGTTCATGTATCTATACGTTCATATACCTTGTTTAGTTGTCAGAGCAGCCCCAGGACAGGATGGATAATGGTTGTTGAACCCACTCTACAGAAGGGCCCAGATGGGGGAGGTGACCTGCCAGGGCTCCATGGCCTTTGGTATTAGAGCAGGGACTTTGAGCCCAGTCCTTCTCCAGCAGACCATGAGAGGGAGCCACACCTGGATATAGGCATTGATGAGGGTCCCAGGTCTTGCCTGACCCCAGGGGTCCACAGTGTGCTCTGGGTGGGGAATGTACTCAGTCACAGGTAGCCGGGTCCCCCATCTTCCACCCCAGAGCCTGACTTAGTTCCAGACTCACCATCCCAGCACAGCCCTTCTTGAAACTCTGCAGGAAGTCAGAAAGGGGCAGAAAGAGGAGAAATGCTGGGAACCATCACGTGCCAAGCTCTGCACCAGGGGTTTGCATTTCTACCCTCTCCTCATCTTTCCAAGGAGGCACTGCAATCCCTTTTCCCCAGTGAGGCTGAGGGAGTTTTATCATCGTGACCCAGATCCCATACTCAATGAGCTGTGGGGCGAGAGGTGGGGTGCGGGCCTGAACACGGAAATGCAGTGCCCTTTTAGCTGTATTTCACCTTCAGCCAGTTTCTTTCCTAAAAATGCTCAGTTAGGTGAGCACAGCTCCACCTCTGGCATTCCCCAGCTCCTTGTCTCCTGTTGAGCACAACCTTAGTAAGTTCAGTGTAGGACACGGGGAGCCAGAGGAGTCAGGGGGTTATGCTGGGCTCCCATGTGCAATGCTAGAGTCACACCTAGTCCCGGCCCTCATTACTTACTAGACTAACTGGGGACACATCTCTACATTCGACCAATATTTATCGAGTGCTTATGAGGCAGGTACTGTTCTAGATGGTACTGGGGATTCAGCAGGGAACTGAACAAATTCCTACCTTCATGGTGCTAACATTCTAGAATCTATCCGGTGTTGTCCAATTGACCTTTCTGTGTTTATGAAAATATTCTATACTCTGTGCTGTCCAATACAATAGCTACTATCCACATGTGGTTACTGAGCACTTCAATGTGGCTAGTGTGACTGAAGACAAACATTTTCATTTACCTTTGATTAATTTAAATGTAAATAGCTCCATATGGTTAGTGGCTCTCATACTGGACAGGGAAGGATGCTGACACTTAACCAATCTGCGATAAGTCAGTGATCAGGGCTCTGATGGAGGAAGTATCGCAGAGTGGTCGACGGAAGAAAAAGGTGGGAGCTCAGGGCACCGTGAGAGCCCAGGGTAGGTGCCTAATCCAGGCTGACGGGCCGCAGGGAATCGTGGGGGATGTCAAGTGAAGGGGGATCCTTAGGACCCCATGTTTATGGAGACGGCCTGAGGCCTGGACAGCGCTTCTCCAACCAGCACCTGGCCTCTCGCCCCAGATCATGACACGCCCTTCGGCAGCCAACAAGAACTTCCCGTACCACGTGCGCACGTCGCAGATCGCCTCGGCCGGGGCCCCGGGCCCCGGAGGGAGCCAATCCACGGACAAGGCCTTCCCGCAGCACGTCTATGGGAACGTGACGTTCATCAGCGACTCGGTGCCCAACTTCACGGAGCTCTTCTCCATCCCCCCGCCCGCCTCCTCCGTAAGCCCCGCGCCCCCGGCGCACGAGGAGCTGCTGGCGCCGCCCCTGGAGTACCTGACCCCGCTCCCGGCCCCGCCGCCGCCCCCCTCTCCCAGGCGCCTGAGCCCACCCCCCGCCTTTCGCATGCCCCGAGCCCCAACACCACGCCGCGACCTACCCCCGGCGCCCGCGCCCACCCTGCCCGATTGGGTCCTGGCGCTGTTGCGCACGCCCCCGCAGACGCCACGCGCCGTGCCCCCGCCACCAGCCTTCCGCGGCTCTCCACCCACTCCCCGGCCGCCGCCGGAGTTCGCCCCGCGCGCTCCGACGCCGCCCCTTGAGTACCTGGCCCCGCTGCCCAGGCGCCCGGCCACCCGGTCCTTCCCTGATTGACACCTGCGCCCGCACCTCGGGAGGGGGGCTCCTTTGCGGGGAGGGGGACGGGCCTTCGGGGCCGCATCTGCCCCCCGTGGGTCCCGGATGGCCTCTGACCCTGACCCCCCTCCCAGGCCGGGAAGCAGGTGGAGGAGACGGCGGTGGCGGCGGCGGTGGCCCCGAGGGGCCGCGTGGTGACCATGGCCGAGCCGGGCGCGGCCTCCCCGCCCCTTCCCGCTCGGTTCCCCAAGGCGGCCGACCCGAGCTGGGATGGCCCGACGCCGCCCTATCAGCCGCTCGTGCCCCAGACGGCGGCGCCGCACACCGGCTTCACCGAATACTTCAGCATGCACACGGCCGGGGGCACCGCACCCCCGGTCTGAGCACCCTTGCCCACCCCGCCCCTTGGGCCGCGCGCCGGGCCCCGGCCGGGCTCCGGATCCCCGCTCTATCCCGGCCCCAGGGCTCTGCCATCCCAGGCCTTCCCGACCCTCCCCACCCCGCGCGCCCAGGTAGGGGTGCGTACTGTCCCGCTCCGCCCCCTTCCCCCGACTTTTGTGCCAAACGGTCCCGCGGGAGCCGCTCTCCCCGTCCCCTCCCTCAGCCCCTGCCCCGAGCGGCGCCGGATTCTGGGCTCCCGCTGTTCCGAGACCTACGGCCCCCTGGCCCCCTCCGAGACCTCTGATCCCGCCGGACCCCGGAACACCAGTGACGATCGCCGGGACCCTGCCCGTGACTCTCCAGGACTCCGCGACCCCGAGCCATTGCTCCTGGGACGGATATTGTGAATCTGGTCTCGACTCTGAAACCTTCCCTTGGATCTCTGTGACCTCGGACCCGAGCTCTGCCCACCCCTATCTCCATCCGGGGGTCTTCCCTCAGGTCCCCGGCAGAAAGACTTTTTTCCCTTCTTGCCAAAATAAAGCGGATTCGTTGAGTTTTTATCTATAAAATGGCCTCTTTACATCTTGATGGTGCTCAGAGGCGGGGCGGAGCATGAACCATTCCAGGCTCTGGACCTCAGTGTGTCCAGCTGTGAAATGGCATTTTGGGAGGGGCCTGCATAACCTGGCCTTCATACTGGCCCGGAATCTGGGGGCACTGAACATCTAAATCATCCAACAGAACCCTCTTACTGCACCGCTCCTTTATTTTTTACCGTCTCTTCTCCAGTCAGGGCTAGAGGCGCCCTCCAGTGGCACAAACTTTGCTCAACCACCTGTACCCCGAGTCTGGGTTACGATTTTAGCACTGCGCATGTGTAATTCTCTCTTCGCAAGCCAAGGAGGTCACTGCTGCGCACGCGCCTGGGAACAAATGGGCGGGGAAGTTTCCGGAAGTCTCCCTCTGTGGAGGGGTGGGGTTGGATGCTCCGCAGTCCTCCCAGGGCCGCTCTGACCAGCTGCTCTGCGACTTCTCGCCTCCTCTCCATCTTTCCTCCCACAGCGGCCGCTCGGCCCCCGCCCCCTCGTCCTCCCGGCGGGTCTTCCCAGGCCGCTCTGGCCCGAGCGTCCCCTCGTCTCTCTGATCTGGCCCATCCGGCTCCGGAGGGAGGCGCGGGTGGGTGAGCAAGGGAGTTCGTCTATGGGGTCCAGGCCCAAGCCCCTGAAGACGGACTCCGCCCCCGACACCCGCTCGCGCCCCGCCCCTGGCTGGAGGGGTCTCTCTCGGATCTTCCGGGCCTGGCCCGGCACGACCCGCACCCTCTATGGAGGCCCCCGCCGGGCTGTAGAGCCCTTCGCCCCCTGGGGATCCACCCGTATATAAGGTCCGTTTTGGCCTGCAGCGGCCCGCCTTTATAACTGCTGGACACCGTTTATGGGGTCAGCTAGCCTGTGGGGGCCCGTGACTATAAGGGACTCCCACGGTCCCTAGGAGTCGGCCTCGTCCATAACGACCCCATTTACGGGTCCTTCCATGGGTCTGTAGGACCTACTCCGCGGCTTCCAGAGCCCGTCTACAGCGGCGGTTCCCTTCGTGGGGTCTGCAACTCCTGGACCTCCCTGGTCTACAAGGCCATGTCCCGTCTATAGAGGTCACATTTGCAGGGCCTCACGCCGCGTGGAGGGTCCTCTCCCGGTCTTTAAGGCCTGTCCCGTCTGTAAGAGTGCGGGAGGCGGCGATGGCCCTGGGCCTGGCTCTGGCCGTGGCGCTGGCTCTATCTTTGGCCCTGGTGGGGCCTCTGATACCTGGGGCCCAGGCAGGGGACTGCAAGGGGCAGCGGCAAGTGCTGCGGGAGGCGCCAGGCTTCGTGACGGATGGTGCGGGCAACTACAGCGTCAATGGCAATTGCGAGTGGCTCATCGAGGGTGAGTGGGGCCGCGTGGGTCACACACCCACCCATTCGCTGATTCATTCATTTGTGCACTCATTAATCCCACTCACCGAATTCCCACACCCCGGTTCTGGTCCAGGCCCTTTGCTCTGAAATGCAGCCAACCTGGGCCCTGTCCTGGAAGTCCTTGAAGTCTGGTGGGGGAGTTGCACCCAGACCCAGATGGACAGTTACAAGCCAAGAGCATCAATGAGAGATACTCTGAATGACTGTTAGCAACTCAGGCTCTGAGCGCAACCACCTGCTTCAAATTTGGGTTCCACTTCTCACTAGCTTTGTGATTTGGGCAGGCAGCTTCTTTTCTCTGAGGTCCAGCTCCCTCTCCTCCCAGGTAGGGTTCATGCTAGTATTGACCTCATAGGGTTGTTGGAATTCAATGAGAACACCATTTAACATGCCTGGCACATAGTATGTACACGGTAAATGGTATTAGGATTATACTGTTGTTATTTTTAAAGTAATTCAATAAAGGCATTTTTTTCAGTCATTCATGTGCCAGACATTATATTTGTTATCGAGACATAACAGAGACCAAGGCAACCCTAGCAATCCATGATGACTTGGGGCTTAGAATCCAGTGGGGAAGACAAACACATGAATAGAGAGTGACAACCTAGAGTGGTTGGGACTGTGATGGAGGAACCCCAGGGGCCTGTGGGAGCCAGAGGAAGTACCTGGCCTGGGGGCTGGGAGAAGAGAGAGGGCTTCATGGGGGAGGAGATGTCTGAGCTGAGACCCAAAGGACCAATAGCAATTAACCGGGAGGAAGAGTAAGAGCATTCCAGAGGGAACAGCCTATGCAAAGGCCCCATCCTTACCCTTATGGGCTCCTAGTCCAGTGGGGGAAGCAAACCCACCCACAAGGAGTGGGAAGCCCAGAAGACGTCTGATTTAGCCTGGCCTGGAGCTAAGACCAAAGGCATGTGAAAGAGGGAACAGAAGGGCCCCCCAGGCCAGGAGCATAGCCCATGCAAAGGCCTGGCAGCAGGAGGGATGATGCTTTTGAGGACACAGAATACAAGAAGACAAAGAGTGAACCAGAGGGTGGAAGACTGATTTTGACCTGTATCCTGAGGGCACTAAGGAGGTGGAAGAGAAGTCTCAAGGCAGTGCCTGGAGAAGTCCAGGAAGGCTTCTCTGTAGCAGATGTAGGAGCTGGTGTCCAGGGAGTGGTAGGAGTCCCCCAGAGGAGGTTCTGGGCAAAGGCCAGAGGTGTGATGTCCCAAATCAGGCATGGTCTCCCTTTACAGGCTGCAGACCTTGGTCTTTATCTGAGGACACTGGGGAGTGTGGGAGGGTTTTGAACAGGGAAGGACATGATCCTGACTTAAGTTTTAGGTCTCTGTGGCTATTGTATGGTGTATGGATGAAGCATGTTTCTTGGGGATGAGTGTGTCTGTCCCCAGCTTGGGGGCCATTCCTGTCTGAGGGTGTAGGTAAGCACAGAATGGGAAGTATGGGTATGCGTTTGATGTATACATCATTCTCTGGCCTTAAAGAGCCCAGCCTTGTTGGGGATGGTAAGGCTGGATGCAGACGTTCATTCTACAGTATGCTCAGGCTATGTCTAGAAGGAGGTAGAGGGGTTGGGTAGATGGGCAGAGGGGGATGAAAGAATACTGGGGGTCACGTAGGAGGGGCCATTGGAATAGGGTTCTGAAGCATGCATAGGAGTTTGCTGGGAGAGAGGCTGGTGTGTCTCAGGAGCCATGTCTAGGTTTTTCTGGTCTGATTGGACTGCTGGCTGAGAGGTGCGGAGGGCGCCACAAGCAGGGGAAGAAAGGCCTTGAATGTCATGCTGAGCAACTTGGCTTTTTCTCTTGGCATTGATGGGGAGCCACAGAATGATTGTGGGGGGTGGCCTGGAGACTTGGTGTGCTAGTCTTGCTGGAGAGGAGGTAGAGAGGGCTGAGAGCACTGAGAGGTGTTTGGGAAGTTTCACCAGTGAGATTTGGGGACCACCTGGCTGGATGTTGGGATAGGGAGGAGTCTAGGTGACTTCCAGATCCTCCTTGATCTCCCATGCTTCCCAGTGCCTATTACCTTTGAGAACAAACACGTTCCCCCATGTTTTAAAAAATAAGCAGCTGGCCTACTTCCTTTTATACCACATCCACACTTTATTGTAACCAATCCTCATAACATCCTCATGAATAAAAAGGCATTCTGCTTTTGGAAACCGGGGGTTGGGGTGCCTGGGTGGCACAGCTGGTTAAGCGTCCGACTCTTGGTTTCGGCTCAGGTTGTGATCTCAGAGTTGTGAGATCGAGCCCCGAGTCAGGCTCCTCTCTCAGCTCAGCGTGGCATCTGCTTGGGTTTCTCTCTCCCTCTCCCTGTGCCCCTCCCCCCGCACGCTCCCCACCCCCATGCGCTCTCTCTTTCTCTCTCTCTCTCAAATAAATAAATAAATATTTAAAAAGAAAATGAAAAGCAGGGAGTTTTGGGGTTGGATCCCTGTCCAGAAGGGCATGGGCATTGAGCCTGTGTTGGGTGGAAGCAGGAGATCTTGAACTTAGGGAGGAACTTGGGGAAAGCAGATGGTGAGCTGGCTTCCAGCATGCCCTTGACAAAGATGTACTTGTTGTGATTCTGGGAACTGAGCTTTATATTTTGGTTGAGGCTGGCAAGATTCTGGGAGGTGTTGTTGCCTGGTCTGGCGAAATGGTTCTTCTTCCTTCCCCAGACCATGGTTTGGGGTCTGTGTGATGTTCTCAGGGGCTCTGGCCAGAGCCCGAGGGAAGGCTGCCAACTTCAGTATTCTTTCTTTTGTGCATTTCTTCATTCCTTGCTCAGTGCCAGGCCCTGTGCTGGTTAATGTCAGGGAGGGACCCCAAGATGAGTTAGGCCTAGACCCTGCCCTGTGGGCCTCTTTGGCTGCAGAGGAAACAGACCCAGACACACATGATCCTGGCGCAGAGGAATGAAGGTTATAAAATCTAAAAAAAAAAAAAAAAAAAGCCCTCCATGGCTCCCTGCCATTCCCAGTATGCAGGGGAGCGTGCTGAGGGGCATGGGAGAAGGGGCTGGCCCAGGGTCCCCCAGCAGGTCAGGAGCAGAGCTGGAACCCAGGTCTAGTTTCCTGAGCCCCTAGTGTGAGATGTGGGATGAGGGTTACGGAGGAGGGCTGGGCCTCTCCCGTGGTTGTAGCTGGATATCAGCTGGGCCTGCAGTCATCTGAACACTCACCTGAGCCAGACGTCCGCGAAAGCTCCCTAACGGGGCTGGTGGTTGCTGCTGCCCGTGGGCTGGAAGCTCAGCTGGGGCTGTCAGCTGGGATGCCGACACGTGGCCCCCGCCATGTGGCTTTGGCTTTTCATAGCTTGACAGCTGTGTTCTGAGAAGGAGCATTCTATGATGTCCAGGTAGAAGCTGTGAGGCTTCTCTGATCTAGCTGTGCAGGGGCCAGAATGTCTGCATTGCTGGCTTGTATGGGTCATGCTAGTCTTTCTGAGGGTCTTCCCTGATACAAGGGGCAAGGAACCAGCCCTCATCTCTCGATGGGAGGAGTGGCCAAGAAGTTTGAATCCACCTCAGTACCGTTATAACTCCACTTTCCAGATGAAGAAGCAGATCCAGAGAGGTTAGGGGACATGCCCAAGGCCACACGGCTAGTAGCTAGTAAATGGCAGAGCCAAGATGTCAGCCCAGGCAGTCTGGCTCAAGTCTGTGCCTTTAGCTACTACAATAAACTGAGCCTTGGGGTGGGGGTGGGGGGCGAGAGGAGCTGTGGTACTCCAAGGTTTGGCCCATTCCGGGGGAAGAAACTGGCCTCTTCCCTTGGAGCTCTGATCAGCCTGGAACAGGTGACCGTCCCAGAGGCCCTTTTCCGTCTGGGAGTATGCTTCTCTGCTCAGGTCTGGACCCTGCCCCTCAGGCTTAATGTCTGAGGCTCAGGAAAAAAGGAGAACAGCTCTGTGTGACCCCCGGGGTGGGGTCCTTTCTGGGGCACTTCAGCTTTCCCATCTGAATGGTGGGAGGTGTTCAGCCTGGTCTCAGGAGTCCTTTCCAGGGCTGACACTGTAATTCCTTCTCTGGCCCTGTCCCTCTGGCTGTCACAGCTCTGACCTCCCTGGGCCATTGAGACCAGGGGCCCCTCGAAGGCAGGGCTCGGGTCTGACTCATGTTTGGGCCTCCCACATCACCAGGCAGGCCTTGGTATTTTGGGGTGAGGTACGTGGAGGCACAGGGAGAGGGTCCACATCTGAGCCCAGCCCCCCTGCTCTCGCTGCCCAGCCCCAAGCCCCCAGCACCGGATCCTGCTGGACTTCCTTTTCCTGGACACGGAGTGCACTTACGACTACCTGTTCGTGTATGATGGGGACTCTCCCCGAGGGCCCCTGCTTGCCAGTCTGAGTGGGAGCACTCGGCCTCCACCCATCGAGGCCTCCTCAGGCAAGGTTGGTGGGGCCGGACTGTGGGGGGGAGCTGGGCTGTTGGGGGGCCAGGCTGTGCGGGGTAGACTGTGGGGCTCTGGCTGGAGGTCCAGATGGAGTTTGGAGGAGTGGGGGGGCGTCGATACACAGAAGGAAACAAAAGAGGGGGAGGGGCAGAGAGACTGAAGGAGAGACTTCACGTCTACTGATGGAAGGACACAAGGACAAAGAAGGGTGGAGAGAGACCAAGAAAGGAGGTGGGGACGCCCAGGGTGGGGTGGGGACAGCAGCAGCCCACCCTCCCAGTCCAGTCCCCCGAGTCCCCGGAGCCGCGCCCATCTCGTGCCTGCAGATGCTGCTGCACCTCTTCAGCGATGCCAACTACAACCTGCTGGGCTTCAACGCGTCCTTCCGCTTCTCCTTGTGCCCCGGGGGCTGTGGCAGCCATGGGCAGTGCCGGGCCCCCGGGCAGTGCGCCTGCGAGCGCGGCTGGGGGGGCCCCGACTGCAGCCTGCAGGAGTGTCCCACCTACTGCGGCAGCCATGGCACCTGCGCCTCGGTGAGCCTGTCCGCCCCCCCCCCCCCCGGTCTGTGACCACAGCTACCGCTCCATCTGCCCCTGCCCCACTCCCGCCCGGGACCCTGCTGTCACCCTGTCACCCACAGTGACACTCCCCTCTCCTCCCAGACCCTGCCCCCGCCTGCCCTCCAGCCCCACCCCACCTTCATCTGCGGCCCCTCCTCTGCCTGAGCCCACTCCCCTCCTGCCTCTCGCCTGCATCTGGCCTGCAAACCCACCTGCCTTCCGCTTGCCGGCCCGACTCCATCCTCCCACCCAGCCGCTTTGTCTGGCCCTGACTTCGGACTGCTGACCACTGACCTTGGGCCTCAGCCCCGCACATCCAGCTTCGGGACTGGGTCACGTCTTGAGCCCTCCTGCCTTCGCCTCCCCAGGCTGAGGTCGTCCGGCCCAGGCTGACCTTGCCCTCACCGCTGTCCTTCTCCTCCGACCTCTCTTGCTGTCTGTCCTCGTTTTCCTCTCCGGGCCCTTCTGTCTTTCCCTTTTTTTGTTGGGCTGTCTGCTTTTTTCTTTTTTCTTTTTTAAAGATTTTATTTATTTATTTGACAGAGAGAGACACAGCGAGAGAGGGAACACAAGCAGGGGGAGTGGGAGAGGGAGAAGCAGGCTCCCCGCAGAGCAGGGAGCCCGATGCGGGACTCGATCCCAGGACCCTGGGATCATGACCTGAGCTGAAGGCAGTCGCTTAACCAACTGAGCCACCCAGACACCCTAGCTGTCTGCTTTTTTCTACCTCTCTGCTTCTCTCTGGTTGTGTCTCTGTGTCCCTTTCTTCCTCCGTCTGTTGGCCTGTGTCCTTCCTGGCTGTTATTCCATCTCTCCTTTCCCATCCATCTTTTTCCTTCTCCCTTTCTGCCCTGTGTGTCTCACTCTGGCTTCATCTCTCCTCCCCCTTTCTCTCTTTTTTTTCTCTCTCCATCCCTGCCTTTGTGTGCCTGTCCCCCTCCAGCCCCTGGGACCGTGCCGCTGTGAGCCTGGCTTCCTGGGACACGCCTGTGACCTGCACCTGTGGGAGAACCAGGGGGCCGGCTGGTGGCACAACGTGAGTGCCGGGGACCCTGCCTTCTCGGCCCGGATCGGGGCGGCCGGTGCCTTCCTGTCCCCGCCGGGGCTACTGGCCGTTTTTGGAGGTGAGCCGATGGGGTGTGCGTCTGGGGTCTGGTGGCTTGGCAGTCTGTGGCCAGGGCTTGAGCCATCTGTCCCTCCACAGGCCAGGACCTCAACAGCGCCCTGGGGGACCTGGTCCTATACAACTTCTCTGCCAACACCTGGGAGCGCTGGGACCTGAGTCCTACCCCGGTACGAATCCTCCCCAACCCCCCGCACTGCTCAGAGGCGCCTGTCCACTCCGGCAGACCCAGTCAGGGCCCCCTGGAGCGACCCTACCACCCCGTACGCCCCCAGCCCTGCCGCTTGATATGGGCCCACCTCCTCCTCCTGGTGCTGCTTTTCTACCTCTGATTTTCTTTTTGCTTCCTCTATCTCCATTTTTGCATCTTATCCTTCTGTGGATCTCCTGTCTCTTTCTCTTGGTTTCTCTCTCCATTTTTGTCTCTGCCTGTTGGTCTTCTGCTCTCTCTTGGTCTCTGTGTCTCCCCTCTGGGCTGTCTGTCTCTCCCTCTGCTTTTCTCTGCCACCTCCCCTATCCCTGCCCCCCTGCCTCCTCCGCCTCCTTTTTTTTTTTTTTTTTTAATTTGTTTTTGTTCGCCTGTGTCTGTCTTGCTGGGTCTGTCTTCCTTTTTCTCTTCGTGTATCTCTGTCTGGCTTTCTCCATGTCTCTCTCTGGCTGGCTCTCATGTCACTCTGTGTCACCATCCTGTCTCCTGGTCTCTTACCCACAGGCTGCCCGGCACTCCCACGTGGCTGTGGCCTGGGCCGGCTCCCTGGTGCTCATGGGTGGCGAGCTGGCCGATGGCTCCCTCACCAGCGATGTGTGGGCCTTCAGCCCACTGGGCGGGGGCCACTGGGAGCTCCTTGCGCCACCTGCCTCGGGTTCCTCGGGGCCACCAGGCCTGGCAGGTCACGCGGCCGCCCTGGTGGACGACGTCTGGCTCTATGTGTCTGGCGGCCGCACCCAGCACGACCTCTTCTCCTCCGGCCTCTTCCGTTTCCGCCTCGATGGCTCCAGCGGAGGCTACTGGGAGCAGGTGATTCCAGCAGGTGGGCGACCCCCTGCCGCCACCGGCCACTCCATGGTGTTCCATGCACCCTCACGCACCCTGCTGGTTCACGGTGGACACCGGCCCTCCACTGCCCGGTGAGTGACCTCCTGCAGGGCCAAGCCTGGCCCAGGCCCCTGGGTCTTCAGTCTTTAGTGGTCTTCGTCCACTGATGGACTTCTGCAGTCATCCGCCCTCCTTCCTTAGGTCATTCACTAGTTCATTCGTTCTCTTATTTGCTCATCCACTCACTGACTCTCTAACCTTTCCTTCACTCTTTTGGCCACTTACTTCCCATGCGCTCTCGCCTGTCTGTCCACTCAGCCACACCCTGCTTGATGGCCAGCCCTGGCTAGATGATGCATGGAACCCAGGGATGAGCCACTGGGAGGCAGGTGGGGACATAAACCCCATCACGCCGGCCTCACCCTGACTGATCACACGACTCTTGAGAGCCCAGAGGAGGGAGAGAAGCCTTTCCTGCCCTGAGCCCCTCCTCTGCCCCTCCCGATAGGTTTTCTGTGCGGGTGAACTCCACCGACCTCTTCCACGTGGATCGGCGCGTGTGGACCACCCTGAAGGGCCGGGATGGGCTTCAGGGCCCACGGGAGAGAGCCTTCCACACAGCCAGTGTCCTGGGCAACTACATGGTGGTCTATGGTGAGGAGGCTCCCTGATCCCGCCTGCCTGCCTGCCTGCCTGCCTTCTAGGGCCCCAGGCCCACACTGAGCTGAGGCTCCCTGCCTGGGTGTCCCCACCTCTGCCAGGCTTGCCAGCTGTGCCCCTTTCCTCCTTTCCAGGGGGCAACGTGCACACCCATTACCAGGAGGAAAAGTGCTATGAAGATGGTCTCTTCTTCTATCACCTCGGCTGCCATCAGTGGGTGTCGGGGGCTGAGCTTGCCCCCCCAGGAACCCCTGAGGGTGAGTGGCCCCTCTGTTTTCCTGAGGGGCTCCTGAGAGTCACACTTCCCTGACAGTGAATCTGGGCTTTAGGCAGGAGCCACGTTGGTCCTCATAGGGTGAGCCAGATGTCCTGTTAGAGCTGGCCTCCAGAGGTGAGCCTGTGCGGGGAGGCAGGGCGGGGTCGCTGTTGCCATGGAGATGGGAGGCAGGTCCAGCAGCCCTGGTCTAGGCTCCAGTCCAGATTTTGCCAATTTCCAGATGCCCCAGGGAACGACCTACATGTGACCTTTTCAGGGTCATAGAGTGGGCAAGTGGCAGAACCAGGATGGCCAGGCCCCAAGCAACCATCTGTACAAAAATATTGTTTAATCTCTCTGTGCCTCAACTTGCCCGTCTGTAAAACGGGGATGACAGTAATACTTAAACCACTGGGCTGTTGTGAGAGTGGATTGAGATGGTGCAAAGAATGAAGACCTCCTAGCCAAGGGCTCAGTATGTTGACTTTTTGATAGTGTCAGCATCCTGCCCCAGGGACCGAGGGCTTGCCTGGATGGCAGTGTGGAGAAACCTTTCAAACTCATTAAGTCAGACTGCTTGGAGAATCAGAAGGAAGCCACGGGCCCTCTGCTCGGAAAGACACTGGTACACACAAACTGGGCCTATCATTTCAGGGGGCTGTGGACTTCCAGGAGGCCCATCTCTTCTCCCCGCCCCACTGGACAGAAGAGCGAGGACAGAGAACAGGCATAAGGAAGGGACATTGACATTTAAGGGGTAGGCTGGGCGAAGGGTTCCCCATGGAACCCTGTTTGACCATCAGGCATAAAGCCTTGGCCTGGCATTTGAGGCTCTTCTGCCTGTCCCTATTTCTCCTTTAGGCCAGAGTGTGAGGTTTCTGGAGGCCTCTTCCTCTGTAGTTTGTGAGTCCCCAGGCCAAGTCCCATGTGCTTACAGAGCATATGGGGCGGTAAGAGGGTGAGGGGTCACCAGTCACTGAGCACTTACCCATCAGTCAGTACTCTTGGTTCTGGGCGACAGGATCCAACCCAACCAGCTTGAGTGAAACCGAGTTCTTTTTTTTTTTTTTTCAAGATTTTATTTATTTATTTGACAGAGAGAGACACAGCAAGAGAGGGAACACAAACAGGGGGAGAGGGAGAGGGAGAGGGAGAAGCAGGCTTCCCGCTGAGCAGGGAGCCCGATGCGGGGCTCGATCCCAGGATCCTGGGACCATGACCTGAGCCGAAGGCAGATGCTTAACGACTGAGCCACCCAGGTGCCCCACAAAACCGAGTTCTTGGCTCACTTGAGTGACAACTGGCTTCAGGCTGGCCCGGGTGTGGGCGCTCACATGATGGCATCAGCTAGTTCTCATTCAAGTTAGCTTCAGTCTGTGGCAGATTTGTCTTTTGCAAATGGTCACCAGCAGCCCTGGGCCTATATCCTACCCCTTTAAAATGCCCAGAGGGAGGAAGCACATGCCTTTTTCCCAAAAATCATAGGAATCGGGTCCTGTTCCTGAACGAGTCACTGACCTGACAGGTCTGGGCTCAGCTCAGCTTGAGCCTGTGGACTGTAGTGGGAGAGGGTGGAGTTCCAGAGGAAAATCAGAGGCTGTCCCCAGAAGGGAGGCTGGTGTACAGACAAAACCAGGTGAGAGCCAGGCAGCCTGCCTCATGGCTCCCCGAGGGCAGGAAGATGGTCCATTTATTGAGGAGGAAACCAAGATTCAGAGAAGTTGAGTCTCTTTCCCAAGGCCACACAACTACTCAGAACCCAAGTAAATGGTAGACCTAGGAATCAAAGCCAGGTTTTTCTGACCCCGAAGATCATGCTCTTTTTTTTTTTTTAAGATTTTATTTGTTTATTTGAGAGAGAGAGAGAGCACGAGCAGGGTGGGGGGCAGAGGGAGAAGCAGGCGCCCTGCTGATCAGAGAGCCCGATGTGGGGCTCGATCCCAGGACTCTGGGATCATGACCCGAGCTGAAGGCAGACGCTTAACCAACTGAGCCACCCAGGCGCCCCATCATGCTCTGTCTTTTTTTTTTTTAAGATTTATTTATTTATTTATTCGACAGAGACAGAGAGAGCAGGAACACAAGCAGGGGGAGTGGGAGAGGGAGAAGCAGGCTTCCCGCGGAGCAGGAGCCTGACGTGGGGCTCGATCCCAGGACCCCGGGATCATGACCTGAGCCGAAGGCAGACGCTTAACGACTGAGCCACCCAGGCGCCCCCGTGCTCTGTCTTTTAAAGGTGGTTCGGGCAGTGGTGTGGGAGCTCTGGCAAGTGCAGGGTCAGGCAGGCTAGGAGGGTTTCCTTGGGTGCGTTCAGTTGAAGCAGGAAGTAGGAGGCTGGACTTGAGGCGTAGGAGAGTCGGGATAGGCCTCTGGGCAAGGGAGTCATGAGCATAGGAGGGGAGACTCGTTGGAGTCTCATGTCCTTGGGTTGGGGGGTGTCTGTATTCTCCTAGGCCGAGCAGCGCCTCCCAGTGGCCGATACTCACATGTGGCGGCTGTGCTTGGTGGCAGTGTCCTGTTGGTGGCTGGGGGGTACAGTGGCCGACCCCGTGGGGACTTGATGGCCTACAAGGTGCCTCCCTTTGTGTTCCAGGCGCCTGCTCCGGACGTGAGCACTGGGGTGATAGGGAGAGGGTGGCTGGGGAGGAGGTAGCATGGTTCCCATGGAGGCGGGAGCAAGTTGGGGCGGGTCCCTGGGGGAAGGACTGGGGGTCCCTAGGGATATGAGGGGAGGGCAGTTGGTCCCCAGGTTCAAGCGGGGAGGACTGGAGGTCCCTGGGGCTGAGGGCAGAGTGGATAGGGGTCCTTAAGGTGTCGAGCAGTTGAGGGTCCCTGGGATCATAAAGTGGTGGGCATGAGAGAACAGGCTCCAGATCTGAGGACCGCCCCCCCATCTCCCTGCAGTACCACTTAGACTATTGCTCCATGTATACCGACCATAGCGTCTGCTCGCGAGACCCCGAATGCAGTTGGTGTCAGGGAGCCTGCCAAGCCGCGCCACCTCCTGGGACTCCCTCTGGTGCCGTGAGTGACTGTCCTAGCGCTCTCTCTCCTAGCACATGTCTCCCTCTGTCGAAACTAAGTAGAGAAGGACCTCCTCCCACTTGGGAGACTTGTTTTCACACCGAAGATTGGCTCTCCTGCCCGCTGACCCCTCTGAACCTATGACCCCTCCCGATCCTTTTGAACTTACAACCCTGTCCCCAGACCCCCTGGCTCCTGTCCTCTTGATCTTCCTCATTCCAACTGGCTTTCAGTTCCCTTCTCCGATTTCCTGACACTTTCCACCCTGTGACTCCCGAATCTACAGCATTTCCCAGGTCCGTTGCGCCCCTGTGGACAGTAACCTCTGTCCCTTCCCCTCCCTGCAGTGTCCAGCTGCCAGCTGCCTGGGACTGGGCCGCCTTCTGGGTGACTGCCAGGCCTGCCTGGCCTTCAGCAGCCCCACAGCTCCTCCCCGGGGGCCCGGCACCCTGGGCTGGTGTGTGCATAATGAGAGCTGCCTCCCCCGGCCTGGTGAGTGTGCAGGGGCAGTATGGGAGGGGGCAGCGCAGCACCCCGCACTGACCTCTATTCCCCCCACCCTCCTGTCCTCACAGAGCAGGCCCGCTGCCGAGGGGAGCAGATCTCGGGCACCGTGGGCTGGTGGGGGCCTGCGCCTGTCTTTGTCACATCCCTGGAGGCCTGCGTCACCCAGAGCTTCCTGCCTGGCCTGCACCTGCTCACTTTCCAGCAGCCGCCCAATGCCTCCCAGCCCGACAAGGTGGGAGCCAGGGGATGGGGCCTGGTGTGTGGTCCCAGGGTTTTCATTTTTCAAATGGTTCTATACCACTCTTGTGGTTGCCTAATAAGCCTTTACAGTCAAGAGTCTGAGTTTACTTATTGACCTCTAAAGATTTTTTTTTTTTTTAATTTTATCTGAGAGAGAGAGAGAGAGAGCACATGAAGGGGGGGGAGGGTCAGAGGGAGAAGCAGACTCCCTGCTGAGCAGGGAGCCCAATGTGGGACTCGATCCCGGGACTCCAGGATTGTGACCTGAGCCTAAGGCAGTCGCTCAACCAACTGAGCCACCCAGGCGCCCGACCTCTAAAGATTTTTTTAAATTGTGCTAAAACACACATCATGTAAAATTTACCATCAGTGATATGAAGCACGTTTACAACATTGCACAACCATCACCACCTAGTTCCAGATTATTGCACACCACCACTACCTAGTTCCAGAAAGACACTCCAGATCCATTAAGTAATCCCTCTCTGTTCCCCCTCTCCCTTTGGCCCCTGGCAACCACTAACCTTTTAGTGGTTAGTGGTTGGCAATCTGCTAACTCTGGATTTGCCAATTCTGGGTATGTCATATAAATGGAATCCTATATGTTGTATTTTGTGTGCAGCTTTTTTCACCTAGAGTAATGTTTTCAAGGTCCATCCATGTTGTAGCACGTCTTAGAACTTCATTCCTTTTTATGGCTGAGCAATATTCTCTTGTATGGCCGTGCCACATCCGTTCATCAGCGGATGGACATTCAGGGTGTTGATACTTACTGGCTATCGTGAATAGTGCAGCCATGAGCATTCCCTGTATAAGCCGCTGTTTGAGTACCTATTTTCTTTTAAAAAATATTTTCTTGGGCGCCTGGGTGGCTCAGTTGGTTAAGCGACTGCCTTCGGCTCAGGTCACGATCCTGGAGTCCCCGGATCGAGTCCCGCATCGGGCTCCCTGCTCGGCGGGGAGTCTGCTTCTCCCTCTGACCCTAACCCCTCTCATGTGCTCTCTCTCATTCTCTTTCTCTCAAATAAATAAATAAAAAATCTTTAAAAAAAATTTTTTTTTCTTTTTTTTTTTCGATTGAGGCATTATTGACATACAATATTATGTTAGTTTCAAGTATATAAAGTAATGATTTGAAATGTGTATATATTGCAACAAACACCTATTTTCAACTCTCTTTGGGTATATATCTAGGAGCGGAATTGCTGGGTCATACGGTGATTGAATATTTAACTTATCGAAGAATCACCAAACTGTTTTCCACAGTGGCTTCTTATTGATTTTGATTTTTTTTTTTTT